AAAAAAAAATGTTTTTTTAGTTGAGAGCAACAGAAACTCTCAACTAAGAATCTGACAGAAAAGAAATCCACTAAAGCGATGTTGGATCCCACGCTCCTGAAAGCCTCAATTCAGAAACTCTCACCTAAGAATCTGACAGAAAAGAAATCCACTAAAGGGATGTTGGATCCCACACTCCTGAAAGCCTCAATTCAGAAACTCAAAGCTAAGCTCCTCAAACCCACCCAGAGACAAAGCAAAGTTAGCTATGGAGGGGCCCCAAAGATCATTTTATCCAGAGTTCTTAATCTTGGGTCCATGGATGACTTTGGGGGAGCAAAAAGGCATAACATTTTGAATGTGTGTATGTGTACTTTTCTGGGGACAAGGTCCATAACTTTCATCAGATTCTTAAAGTAATCCATGCTATAGGTCAGGTTCTCCCAGAAGCAAATTCTGAGATGAAGATTCAGTAAAGATGATTTAGTAAAGAAATGTTCCCAGGAGAAACCAGTTAGGGAGAAGGGGAAGCACAGGATAATAGGGGAAGAGAAAGAAGCCAGGAAAGAGTGCAATTTTGTGTGAAAACCCCTCCTGGCTGGCAATGAAGTAAGGAATACTCAGGCCAGAAAGAAACAAAAGCTAGAATTGAGAGGGCAGTGGATTCTAAGCAATGAAATCAGCTTCTACCCTGAAGACACTGTTTGAACTTAGTGACCCTGAGCCTCAGTGTTTCAGCCTCATGGAAATGGGACATTTAGAAGAAGTCCATGCTTAAAACAATCACTAGCTGGGGGGCCTGAGACTACTTCGATGACAAGAGACTAATGGTGACTCTCCCCTTGGGGCTAGGCCTGGGACTGCTTTCCCGAAAGTAGGTACCTGAATAAGGTCAGGGGCTGTTAGGCAAAAGGAAGGGGGAATAGCCATTGAGTAGCCAAGCAGCAGGGCCTGCTTCACTGAGGGAAGAACTCAAGTGTATGAACTTGACCCAGAGGAAACACCTTAGTGCTTAGGGCAAGCAGGGCGAGTGGGAGGATGAAGAATTTGAACTCACTTCTGAGTCTGCATTCAGATTCAACACCTAATTTGGCCCACTGGACTTGTCTGAGTCCTACCAAGGGAAATAGTGTAAAGAAAAAAATGTAGGATTTCAAGGAGCAAACAAATCTGCTTTGGGAACTCATAAAGCAAAGAGAAGCATTTTCCCCTCCACAGGGCTCTTTGCCTCAACCAAAGCAGGAAAACGTAGGGCCACGGACATGCCCTACTGAATCAGGCTATTTGTGAGTCAATAGGAGCAATGGCCTGTGGACTCTCAGAAATACGTGGGTGGACCAGACGGTCTCCTCGCCTACCTCAGCAGGTAGATGCAAAGAATGTGTGAAATTTGGTGCTTATTGTTTCATTTTTAGTCATGTAGGTCCATTTGTATCCTAAGGCTATTGAGGCCTGGGGAGCCCAGGTTCTAACAAGAATGAAAAATATCTCTTGGACTTGGTAATTAGTAGATTCTTGGTAGTTTTAGAAAGAGAAGTTTCAGTGGGGTGATGGGGGATGAAGCCAGCTTACAAAGAATGAGGAAGTGGACACACAGTTAATTACTCTTTGGAGAAACTCGGATGTGGAGAGGAGCAAAATGGTTACATGGTGGCCGGAAAGGGGAGGAGAGGATCCTTTTTAGAATGGAAGAGACTTGAGCAAGTTGTTAGGCTAAGGAGAAAGAGCAAAGAGAATGAGGTCTTATAGATATGGGGGCGAGTAAAGCTGATGGAACAAGATCCCAGAATTAGTGGGGAGACTGGGATCCAGGAACTGGGAGAATTCGTAGAGATGGGCATCTTTCTCCAGCAGGGCTCAGCCAAGCTAGCCAGTCTCAGGAGCACAGAAGGTGGGCTCCAGGCATGAAACAAGGATGGGCTGAGCCCAAGAGGATAGGGATGCAAGGGAATCAGGGATATTGAGGAGGGAGGGATTCAAATGACCCTCCAGAGGTTCAGGCTGGGAAAGAAAGAAGAGTGATGAGAGGGGCTAAAAAGACTGGACCAGAGGTCTCCAGGAAATTAAAGTCCAAGAGGAGATATAAGGGGATTAAGGTTGTCCACAAGTAGGAAGGTCAAAGGCTGTGTAAGGCAGTAGGATTTGACATTTAAGATTTCTGAGGAAGAGCATCTTACCCAAGTTATTTAACTTCTCCATGTCTCTCAGCCTCCCAATTTATAAAATGGGACTAAAATTCTCACTCATAAAAGTACTAAAAGCATTTTTTCTTTCTGGCAAAGCATATAATTGTGGGATCTGGGACATCCAGGCACTCAGTGTTTGTGCAAGGATGAAGGAACATCTGTCACTTCCGCTCTATGGACCCCACTTTCCTAATTCTCACTGATTGTTTGCTTGATCTATCAGTTACTGAGAGAGGTGTGTTAACATCTCCCACTGCATTGTGAATTTGTTTTTATTTTGCTTTCCTTGATTTTTCTTTTTGCTTTATTTTGAAGTTATGTTATTAAGTGCATATAAATGTAAGATTATTCCATCTTACTGATGAATTGGACTTTTTAATCATTATGAAGTGACCCTTTTGTCTCTCATAATGCTTTTTTTGTCAAAGTCTATTTTGACTAAAATTAATATAGATATGTCAATCTTCCTTTGCTTAGTATTTGGCAGATTTTTTTTCATCCTTTTTACTTTCAATCTTTCTGTATTATGTTTTAGATACGCCTCTATGAACAGCTGATAGGTGGATTCATTTGCTTTGTCTAGTTTGGCAATCTTTTTCTTCTAACTGAAGCATTTAGTCCATGTACATTTATTGAAATACTGATACATACACACACATACATTTATATATATGTTTATGTGTGTACGTATATGTACTTTACCTTATTAATTTGTATTTTTCCTGCCTTTTCTCGATTTTTCTATTCTTTCTTGTTTTCTTGATTAGTTTTTCTTATTCCATTTTTCTCCTTTACTAGTTTGCAAATTATACTTTTTTTTTTTTTTTTTTTTTTGCTACTCTTAGGGGTTATACTGGAAACTTTAATATGCTTATTTTGCCTGTCTGAAGTTAACCAGTATCTTCTATTTTTTCTTAAATAAAGCAAGGACGTTAGAACTAATTCTAATCACCCCTCTTTTAGCTTATATATTACTTTCATGTATTTGAATTTTATCTTTTTTTAAGCTTACAAGACATTGTTAGTATTGTTTATACAATCTTTGGTTTTACTCATATAGATACCACTTTCTTTGCTCTGCAATCCTTCTTGTCTTTAATTCCTTCCATTTGGAATCACTTTCTTTCTGCCTGCTGGTGGCAAATATGTTTTTGTTCATCTCATCATGTCATTATTTTTTCTTATTCTCAAAATATCTTTTCACTAGTTTTAGAATTCTTGGTTGACAGTCATTTTTTCTCAGCACACTGAAAATATAATTCTACTATCTTCCAGCTATTAAGAAATCAGCTGTTTTAGTCTAATTGTCACTACTTTGAAAATAATCTGACCTTAAGACTTTCTCTGTCTTTGGTAATCTGCTTCACTATGATATGACTACTTGTGGATTTCTTTTTATTTATTCTTTTGAGGATTTCAAGATTCTTGACTGCATGAATTGATGGATTTCTGGATGAGTCTCAGCCACTAACTATTCAAATATTACTTCTGTCCCATAATCTCTCTCCTCTCCTTCTGAAACCTCTGATTATATGTATTTTGGACCATCTCACTCTATCCTCCATGTCTTTTAACTATTCTTTCATATATTCCATCTTTTTATTTTTCTGTGCTGCCTTTTAGAGAATTTCTTCAGGTCTATATTCCACTTATAATTTTATTGTGTCTGATATATTCAATTGTATCTAATCTTCTATTAAATACAACCATTAAATTTGTAGATTTACTTACAATATCTTAAATTTCTAGAGGGACATTCTATTTCTTGTTCAAATATACTTGGTCCTTCTTCATAGTATCTTGTTCCCTGTTCAAGTTTTTAAGTTTCTCTTCTACTCTTTCAGCATTTTAAACATAGTTATTTTATACTATTTGATAATTCCAATATCTTAAGTCAGCGTAGACTTGTTTCCATCATCTGTTGTTCCCTTGCATGTTTCCTGATCTTCAACTAGGAGCTACTATTTCTTTGGAGATTTCTCTGTGGGAATTCTTGAGGCCTGGGGTGAAGGTGGGTTTTTCCAAGAGGGTTTGCGTTTGATTTGCCAGATGCTTATGGTGTTAACCAGATTGGGCCCAATTTAAGTTAAATGCTGGACTGAAATTTTTCAGACCACCTAAGTAGTGTGAATTTGGGCTTCAAATGACATAGGTATGGCTTATATTGTGAATTTGCAGGGGCTATTTTATTTTCTCCTGAGAAAAGGGAAATTAAGATGGGCATTTTTCTTTTCAGTCTGTTGGGATGTGGTGGTGCTTCTATCTGGTTCATTCATTCACTGAAGTCCCAATCTTATGTGAGGAAGGTCTTATCAGACTTCCAACCTTAGAGGAGGCTTGAGTTTCTTGCAGTAGTGTGCTGGAACTGGCTCCTACCAGCTCAGAAGAACCAATATTTAGGAATTTCGCAGTTCCTGGTACCATTGAGAGCTTGAAATTGGCTATGGTGAGAGTATTTACACTGTGGAAATCAGCAAACACTAAAAACAGGGTACTTTGTTTTGTTGGAGAGCCAGTTACTAATGTAACACTGGTTTCTCTCATATCACCCCAGCCCATACGACCAAGTTCAAGTTTACTGAGTTAAAAAATAAAAATGATAAAGTTTCAGTTGTGCAAGATGAAAAAGTTCTAGGAATCTGCTGTACAACATTGTGCTTATAGTTAACAATACTGTACTGTACAGTTAAAAATTTGTTGAGGGTAGATCTCACTATATATATATAGAGAGAGACAGAGAGACAGAGAGAGAGAGAGAGAAAGGGTGGGTGGGGGAGGGAGGGAGGGAGAGAGATCTCCACAATATAAACAAACAAATAAAATAGCTCAACTTACCTCTTTGGATTCTTGAGTTTTTTGGCCTGAGTATTCCTCACTTTCTTGCCAGCTCATCAGTGCATTAAAAAAAGTTGGGGTTTTTTTCTTTTATCCAGAATTGTTTGCAGAATGAAGCTTATTTACGGTAACTCGTCCACCTTTTTACGAGAAAATGAAGCGTTCTCAGTTTCTTAACCAGAAATTGAGATCGTTGTGCTAAATCAGTAGTTCTTAACACCTTGGAGACACAGGCTTTTCAAAATTTTGATAAAAATTAGAGCCTAGAGACCCTTTCCCCAGGAAAATACACACACAGAGGAAATGTGTTTTTGCTCCCCTGAAACCATGCATGGGCCCAAGATTAAGAATGCCCAATGACATGAATGCTCTCTGAGGGTCTTGCCAGAGCTAAATTTGATGGCCCCGCCATGTTCTCAGCCTTGAGCAGAGTTTCTGCGAGTCTCCTCTTGGCTAAGTACGGGGAGTACAGACTTCTGGACTGGGGCTTCCAGGATCTCCAGGGCCTCTTGGGGAAGGAAAAACTGAGAGCTGTCGACAAAACTTACACCGAGCTAAAGCACAGGCAATATTCCTTCAACCAGACCTCTCCACATTGACTCATTCAATGAGTACTTATTGGACCCTGTTCTAATCTACTGCTATGTAACAAATCATCCCCAAACTTAGTGACATAATAATAACAACAATCATTTACTTTTTCATCTCTCACCGTTCTAGGAGTAACTGGGCTCAGCTAGGGTTGCAAGGTCTCTCATGTGGTTGCAGTCAGATGGCAGCTGAGGCTGGAATCACCTCAAAGCCTCCCTCAGCACATGTCTGCCAGTTGATACTGGCTGTTGGCTAAGTTCTCAGTGGGGCTTTTAACTGAAACACCTACATGTGCCCTCTCTGTGTGGCCTAGGCATACTCACAGCATGGCAGCTTATTCTGAAACGGAGCATTCAAAAAGAAATCAGGCCAGGAGGAAACCATATTACCTTTTATAGCCTAGCCTTAGATGTCATACTGCATTGCTTCTGCCACATTCTGTTAACTAGATGCAAGTCATTAGACCAGCCCATATTTAAAGGGAGGTCAATTAGACTCTATCCCTTGCTGGGAAGGGTGTCAAAAAATTTGCAGACATGTTTTAAAACCACCACACACTCCTTCTGTGTGCCAAGCAGTGGACAAGGCACTTGTGATAGAGTGGTGAGTTATACAAACCCTCCCTTATGATCTAAACACTAATAAAATAATATTACAAATATGTACATAACTGTAAACTTTGACAGTGCTATGGAAGATGAGTACAAGGAGCCATGAGAAATTGTATTACACATTAGTAAGACCTGGACCAGGGACCCAAGGATGAATTCCCTGAAGAAGAGACATCTGGGTTGAGATCTGAAGCATTAGTGGATGCGAACTTCATGAAGTGATTTGGAGAAGAGCCTCCCAGGCAGAGGAAACCATAGGCCATGGCCCTACGACAGGAGGCAAGGTGACCGAGAGGCAGCCAGCGTGTCTGGAGGCAGATAGCAGGGGAGGAAGGTGCGAGACAAGGCTGCAGAGGTGGGCTGGGGCCAGACCCCTGGACTTTGTAGGCAGGTGAGAATATTTGTCTTTGGCCTAAAGCTGCAGGAAACTGTTGAAGGGTCACTCACTGGAGCGTGATATGAACAGATTTGTAATCTAATGGTCACGTTGGCTCCCGCGTGGATGGCCCCTGCCAGATGCTGAGTCAGGTCTGGAAGGGTTGGGAAATTCTTTTTTTTAATTAATTTATTCATTTTAATTTTTTTTTTTGGCTGCATTGGGTCTTTGTTGCTGCGCGTGGGCTTTTCTCTAGTTGCAGCGAGCGGGGGCTACTCTTCATTGCAGTGCGTGGGCTTCTCATTGGGTGGCTTCTCTTGATGTGGAGCACGGGCTCTAGGCGTGCGGGCTTCCGTAGTTGTAGCACTCAGGCTCAGTAGTTGTGGCTCGCAGTCTATAGAGCGCAGGCTCAGTAGTTGTGGTGCACGGGCTTAGTTGCTCCACAGCATGTGGGATCTTTACGGACCAGGGCTCAAACCCATGTCCCCTGCATTGGCAGGCAGATTCTTAACCACTGTGCCACCAGGGAAGCCCAGGTTGGGAAATTCTTATGTGCAGCACTTCCCCTCTCCATGACACATTCCCACACACATGATCAAGCTAACAGCAGCCTCAGTCCTAAATCTCTAGCTTAGGCTTCTGCGCCCTGTACTTGACTTCCTTGGTCCCTCTTCCAGGCACAGGAAGTTCTGCCATCTTGCATTACTCAATTAGTCACTCCTTTAGTCTGTCAGCCTGTTGGTACAGTGGGTTGAACAATGGCTCCCAAAAGATATGTCCACCTGCTAATCCCCAGAACCTAAGAAGGTCACTTATTTGGGGGGGGAAAAAAAAAGATCCTTATGAATATAATTAAGTTAAAGATCTCAAGATGAATATAATTAAGTTAAAGATCTCAAGATGAGGAGATCTTCCTTTTTTTTTCAATTTGTGGTTGTGCTGGGTCTTAGTTGCGGCAGGCAGGCTCCTTAGTTGCGGCATACATGTGGGATCTAGTTCCCTGACCAGGGATCGAACCCAGGTCCCCTGCATTGGGAGCACGGAGTCTTAACCACTGTGCCACCAGGGAAGTCCCCTGGGGAGATCATCCTTGATTTTCTGGGTGGATGCTAAATCCTATGACAAACGTCCTTAGAAGAGTGAGGCAGAGGGAGATTTGAAGTGGACAAGAGAGGAGAAAGTAAGTGACCACAGAGACAGAGATTGGAGTGATGAGGTCTCAGGTCAGGGAATGCCAACAGCTGCCAGAAGCCGAAAGAGTCACGAAATGCATCGCCCCCTGGAGCCTCCAGAAGGAGTACGGCCCTGCCGATGCCTTGATTTCAGCCCAGTGATCTGATTTTGAACTTCTGGCCTCCAGATAACAATCTCCAGATAACAACAATAAAACTGAGATAACAATCTTCTGGTTGTTTTAAGCCACCGGTTTGTGGTAATTTGTCACAGCAGCGATAGGAAATTAATATGGTTGGGTCCTGCTGTAGCTGTTCCTTCCTGATGAGCTTTACTGGCTCCTTCAGGGAATCTCCAAGTGTTGGAATGCCCAAAGTCTCAGTTTTCAGCCTTCTTCTTTGTCTATTTTCTCTTCCTATGTGATCTCATCCATTCACGTGGCTTTAAAAGACCATTTATTGGACTTGCCTGGCGGTCCAGCGGTTAAAACTTCCAATGCAGGGGGTGTGGGTTCGATCCCTGGTCGGAGAGCTAAGATCCCACATGCCTCATGGCCAAAAAACCAAAACATAGGGCTTCCCTGGTGGCGCAGTGGTTGAGAGTCCGCCTGCCAATGCAGGGGACACGGGTTCGTGCCCCGGTCCAGGAAGATCCCACGTGCTGCAGAGCGGCTGGGCCCGTGAGCCATGGCCGCTGAGCCTGCACGTCCAGAGCCTGTGCTCTGCAACGGGAGAGGCCACAACAGTGAGAGGCCCACGTACCGCAAAAAAAAACAAAAAAAACAAAAAAAACAAAAACCATTTATTTGCTAATACCCTCCAAATTTTATCTCCACCGAGACCCTTTTCATGAAGCCTAGCCATCTTCACAGGTAGACGAAAAGAGGACTTTGGTTCCACTCCCATCTCCACCCCCAAATCTCCCTGGACAGGCATCTCCAGCCACTCAATACTTAGGCTAGAAATGTGGTAGCCATCCTAGATGTCTCCCCTTCTCTCATATCTTATGTGTTAGTAAGTCTTGTTATTTAGGTCTCAAAATGTTTCTCAAATATGTCTACTCCTCTTCATTTCCACGGTCACCAGCATCTCTTACCAGGATGACTGTAACAGCCTCCTAACCACCACCAGTTTCTACTCTTACCCCACCTCGCCCAAGTCCCTTCTCCTCACAGCGGCCAGAATGAGTTTAAAAAATTAGATCAGGGGCTTCCCTGGTGGCGCAGTGGTTGAGAGTCCGCCTGCTGATGCAGGGGACATGGGTTCGTGCCCCGGTCTGGGAAGATCCCATATGCCGTGGAGCGGCTAGGCCCGTGAGCCGTGGCCGCTGAACCTGCCCGTCTGGAGCCTGTGCTCCGCAACGGGAGAGGCCAC